GGTTCCTAGAACGCGTTGAGGATCTAGCCGAAGGTTATGAAATCAGCCTCGACGTATTGCCGAATTGCTGCGGGATCGAGCACTAAGCTGGTTCCGCAACAACAACAAACGATGGCCAACATTGCACCAATTTAGACGGGACTTTATAAAGTTCTTCCTGTCCTCGCGGTACTTTGAGAGGTTAGACGACGAGATCCGCCAGCGAGTACAAGAACCCTTTAAGGACTACGTACTTCAGCTGCAGAATTTGATGAGATATGCTGAAGGCAGTGAACAGCAAAGACTCGACCGCGTGTACCGAAACAGTCGCAGCGAGTACCAACTCTACATCAAGCGGCGTGACTTTGCAACGCTGGAGGAGCTGGTAAGTCTTGCTGAAGATTTCGAGAATGTTATTTCCGACAGAAATACGCAGCCACCCAGTCAGCGGCCAACGCCACCTCGGCGCCTTGAAACACACCCCGAAACTTTTAGGCGTGCGCCCATTTCTCAGAGGCGACAGGAAGAGCGGTATCACGTTCTCAGACCGACACCGATGGACCCCAGTAGTGTGGTACCGCTCGGAATGATGCAGACCCGATAGATCCAAGAACCGCATGTAGGCGATGCGGAGAGAGCGGCCACGTAGCGTACGGATGCCGTAACCCCAGAATTGACTTCTGTTGGGAGTGTGGCCGTCGCGGGATGCAAACAAGAGACTGCTGCAGAACGATGCAGGGAAACGAGCACGGGTCCCGCCAAGAGCGAGGAGCGGAGACCCAAATGACGATAACTCGCACGCATTGAGGGCGTTCTTACGCCAAGACGAAGGAAGAATCGTAGCCACCGCCACACTAGACGAGACGCAAGTGCAGGCGACAGTAGACACTGGAGCCACAAGGAGCTTCATTAACGAAGCGATCGCAGAACGCTTTCCACCTTCGAGGTTCAAGGTGGTGGAAACAAGGGTTCTGATGGGCGATGGCAGTCCAACTATTATGCGCGAGGCTATAGATGCGACAGTCGGTCTGGGTGACCAAACCCACGACAGCGAGCTTTTAACTCTACCCGGACTTGCAGACGATATGATCTTAGGGATGGACTACCTCTGCCAGGCGCGTACGTCCATACGCTGCGGAGGAGAGTCGTTGACGCTAAAGGCGACTGATACACCTTCAGGGGAGGCCACATGCACCACTGTGGCTGAGCAAATTAGCACGAACCCCCAGAAGGCCCCACAACCGCCAAACGTCCTAAAATCCCCGTTGAATATGGAGAGCCCCGAGGTTAAAGAATTCTTGGACCGGGAACTGAGCGTCTTCGAACAAATGACCGACACCTCCAACATAGCCACGCACAAGATAACCATGAGAGACGACCGCCCTATCAAGCAGCGTTATTTTCCGATGAACCCCCGCAAGCAAGAGATAATAAACAAAGACATAGACGAGCTTCTGGACAAACGCTGTATAGAGCCTCGCACCGTCCACATAGTGCTCCAATTGTGTTGACAAAGAAGAAAAACGGGAAGTGGAGACTATGTGTGGACTACCGTCAGCTGAACGCACGGTCAGTACCCGATGCGTACCCACTACCTAGGATTCACCACATCCTAGAGCGGCTTCGCAGTGCCAAGGCAATCAGCAGCTTGGATCTTCAGAACGGCTATTGGCAAATTCCGATGGACGAAAGAAGCAAAGAGTGTACGGCGTTCACCGTGCCAGGCCCCGGACTGTTTCAATGGTGCGTGTAGCCGTTTGGGCTCCACTCCGCACCAGCGACGTTCCAACGTGCGTTAGACCGCGTTATCGGCCCCGAACTAGAGCCACACGCATTCGCCTACCTAGATGACATAATCGTGACCAGCACATCCGTCGAGGAGCACATCCGGCATCTCACCGAGGTGTTCCGACGATTACAAGGGGCGAACCTGAAGGTCAATCCAGAAAAGTGCGAATTTTTTAAGGACGAGGTTAAGTACTTAGGTCACGTAGTAAGTAAGGATGGCATCCATACGGATCCAGACAAGGTCGCAGCTGTGAAGGACATGAAGGCCCCGACAAACACGCGTGAGTTACGTCGCTTCCTAGGCGTAGCGTCCTGGTACCGACGATTCGTACCAGATTTTTCGCGCGTGGTCCACCCGCTCACCGCGCTACTAATGAAAGGCAAGCGATTTCAGTGGTCGCATGAGCAACAGACTGCTTTCGCAGACCTGAAAAGAGCACTAACAGAACCCCCAATACTGGCGTGCCCCGACTTTACGCAGAGGTTCATACTGCTGACAGACGCCAGCGACTATGGTTTGGGGCGGTGCTCACCCAAGAAATCGATGGAGAAGAGCGAGTGATCTCCTATGCCAACCGCCACCTTAATAAGGCGGAATGCAACTACTCGCCGACAGAGAAAGAATGCCTAGCCATTGTGTGGGCGATTCGGAAAATGAGGCCGTACCTGGAGGGGTACGCGTTTACGGTGATAACGGACCACTTATCTCTAAAGTGGTTAAACGCGATCGAGAGTCCGTCCGGTAGAATCGCGAGGTGGGCACTCGAGCTGCAGCAACACTCGTTCGACGTGCAGTATAGAAAAGGAAAGCTGAACTTAATTGCGGACGCTCTCTCACGAGAGCTCCAGGGGGAGCAACTGGGGATCATTACCCAAGAGTGCCAGACGGAAGAACCCTGCAAATGGCTGGAGGAGAAGATAAGGGAAGTAAGGGCTAACCCCATTAAATTTCCAGACTACACGGTGGAAGACGGTAAACTGTATAGGCACCTCCCTGCCTATGCGGATGGCGAAGACTCCATCCCGTGGAAGTTGTGCGTAGCGAAGAATCTTAGAGAGAGGGTGCTACGCGAAGTCCACGATACACCCAGCGCTGGCCACATGGGCATACGAAAGACTATCGCAAGAGCTACCGCACGATATTACTGGCCAGGCATGTTCCATGATGTGCGGAAATACGTGAAGGGGTGTCAGTCGTACCAAATGTATAAACCTAACCAGCAACAAGCCGCGAGGAAGATGTTGACCCAACTTGCGGACGAACCTTGGGCTATTTTATGCGCCGACTTCATCGGGTCGCTGCCGCGATCAAAACACGGCAACACAATGATACTCGTATTCCATGACAAATTTTCTAAATGGGTAGAGATTGTACCACTCCGGAGAGCGACGACAGAGGGCTTGAGTAAGTCTTTCCGGGAGCGAATCCTCGCGCGATTCGGCGTTCCGAAAGTTCTGGTGACGGATAACGGAGCGCAATTCACCAGTCGAGCGTTCAGGCGGTTCCTCGAGCAATATGGGGTGAAGCATCAATTCACTGCTCCTTATACCCCGCAAGAAAACCAGACAGAGAGAACGAACCGTAACGTAAAACGGATCATAGCACAATTAACAGGCGAGTAACAACGGAACTGGGACGACCTGCTACCAGAAATTTTGCTAGCACTGAATACTAGCGTCTGCGAATCCACCGGCTACAGCCCGGCATTCCTAACACAAGGACGCGAGCCGAGACTCCCAAGGGCAGTCTACGATGAGACCACATTCGGCACGGGGCAGAACTCAACGACGCCAAACGAGAAGGCCACAACACTAAAGGAAGTATTCACTCTGATGCGCCAAAACCAACAGCGGGCATCAGCGGAACAAGAACGGCACTATAACGTACGTAGGAGGCAATGGAGACCAGCTATAGGCGATCTGGTGCTACTCAGGGAGCACCTACAATCGAAGGCAGTAGACAACTTTGCGGCAAAGTTGGCCCCGAAGTATATCGGGCCGTACACGGTAAGAAACTTCCCTTCACCGTTATAGTGGAGGTGGAAAGACACGGAAAGACGAGGACAGCCCACATAAGCGAAGTAAAGGCTTTTTACGAGAGGCGAGACGAACTTCCCGGAAGCAGCAAACAATCCCCCAGCGAAAATACGAAGAACCGAAACAAAGGCACAGAGACAAAGGAAGGAAATATTATTAAGAGAAGTTTTGGGAGCAAAGGAGTAGATAAACAAACAAACTTGAGGAAGATTTCAGAGAAGAATTACAGAGGGCAAATGATATATGAGGGAAAAATTTGCGTAGAAAATGCTATAGAAAAAAAGAAAGAGGAATATATATTAAAAAAAAAAAAATAAAAAAATGAAGCCTTAGAAAAATTCTTAAGGAAAAATTAAAAAAAATGAAATTTAAGGAAAAGGAAAAAAAAACAACAAAAACGAGGAAAATAGAAAAAAAACCCGAATCATCTCAGGGAAATAGGAAAAAAAAGAACAAAATCAAAATTTCGAAGTTTTCGGAAAATTTTTTTAAGAAAATTTTAAGGCGGAGGAGAAAAATGTTAAGGAAAAGCTCTTTAAGGAAAATAAATGTTAAGGATTTTTTTTTAATATATTAAAAAAAAAAAATTAAATTGTTTGAGGAGAAGTTTATGAAAAAGAAATTTAAGAAAAAAAATACTTTGGGGAAATCTTTATGAAAGAAAACCACAAAAAAAAAAAAATTTAGGCGTTAGAAAAATGGGGAAAATTTATAAATAAAACTTTTTAAGAAAACGCAATTTTGAAAGAAAAAACGGAGAAAACTCAAGAAAATTTTTACGAACAGTTTGCGAGCGGAAAAAAATAAGTCCAGAAAGTTTTGGAGGAAATTTCAGAAAAATAATATATAATAAAAAAAAAAAAAAATTTAGGCGTTAGAAAAATGGGGAAAATTTATAAATAAAACTTTTTAAGAAAACGCAATTTTGAAAGAAAAAACGGAGAAAACTCAAGAAAATTTTTACGAACAGTTTGCGAGCGGAAAAAAATAAGTCCAGAAAGTTTTGGAGGAAATTTCAGAAAAATAATATATAATAAAAAAAAAAAAAAGTTTTAAGAAGGAAAAAATTATAAAATTCAGGGAAATTGTTATATGTACATATAATATAACAACACTTAAACATGAATTACAAAAAAAAAAACTAATCTGCAAAATTTTTATTTATCAACTGTTGGTCACTGTACCTAACAATTTAGATGCAAATCACCACAGCAACAAACACACAGCATGTACAATACAGGCATCGGCAAAGTGGCGTTACCCAGCGTAAACAAACATGCGTGGGAAAAGCAATGCATAAAACTAACCATACACAACAGCGGCACACGTGCATATGTACATACATACATACCTACATACATACACACCCACGCATAAACAATGGCACAGCATCATCAATCCAGGCAACGGCAAAGTGGCGTGATCTAGCGCGTAAACAAACAAGAGTGCAAAAGGGAAAACGCAAACAGTACACCATCGACATATCTACATGCATACATACCTATATGCATGTAACAGATAAACAAATGCACAAGGCCCAGCACTGCAGGCAAAAGCAAGGTGGTGCGATCAGGCGCGCAAACGAATTAGCACGCCACCTACACAAAATGCATTAGAACAAACATGGGGAGACATATGTACATGCATATATACCTACATACAACGCACATACGACACACATCAACACACGAACTAGGGCACAGGCAAAATGCCATGATCAAGTGCATTAACCAAACCAACAACACCCAACAAGGCAAAAAGGCAACAACTACGTACAGCGACGTAACCCAGCCAATTGTGCCGCGTTTAGATAAAAAGGCGGCCGAGAAACGAATATCGATCACAACACACCATGTCGTCATACAGTACCAGCGAAGGAGACGAATACTCCGCCGTATACCTGAACAATGACTCCTTACGGGTTAGGCTGAGGAGGATGACGGCACCAGAAACAGAAGAAAGCGAATCCTATTCAGTGAGCGGCGACGAAACGGAGGTGTTCGGCGAACTAGGCGAAGACAGCGACGATACGGAGGTGTTCGGCGAACTAGACGAAGACAACGAGGTTGAAGGGGCGTTGGAAAAAGCCTCCACTCCCATAGTAATCTCTAGCGATGAAGAAGACGACGAAGATGACTACCAGCCTAAAAGACGAGGCGAAGTAAATATTACCTCAGAAGACAACCAACGCGCAGGTGAGGGGTACATTGAATACACCCGCAACGTGGGCATACGCCTACGTATTTTCACGGACACCACCGCAACTACCCCAGGAGAAGGACCACCACCGAAGCGGTATATTTGTGAGGCCATCAGCAGCACCACACAAGACGACGGGGAGATGAGCCTGATGGCGAGCGAGGGTTTATTCCGCGAAGTCGACGAGGCGGCCACTAACCACAACTCCCATACCGAGGATGAAGATTTAATGGGCGAAATAATGAGGTGGCTGGACGCGAACGAGGCTGAAATCACAAACCCCCCAACGAATTGGCGTAACCTGACTGGGCAGGCCCAACTGCCAACGGAGCTAACCGAAAGCCTACGGCGACACCTCCAAGAAGAACGAAGGCCAGGAACGAAACAGTCACAACGTTCATATACATATACATATAATATTTTCAATTGTACATAAAATATATATGAAATTGTTAAGTAATACTTTGAATTGAAAATACATACTTTGAATTGTAGCCACATATTGTACAGCACTAAGCGATTTGAACTACCGTTATAATTTATATAATCATATACATAAATACAATTGTACATACACTTTAAGCACGATGGCAATAAAGAACAAAGCGCAAAGGACAACGGGACTTACGCGACGCGACTGCGGCCGGCAATTTTTATAAATAAATAGGAGTTGGGGTTGTTTGTATACTTACACCGCAGAAATACTGTGGTGAGGTGGATCACGCACGGGTTGTTTGAACTGAGAAGGCGACTGAAAATTTTCGCAACCAACAAAAATGACTAACATAAATCAGCCGTGGTCGAATGGTTTGTGTGATATCAAGGCACACACCGCCCGCCAATTGGAGGAGAAACTCGGCCAATTATTTTAAACTTTGCACAGATTGCTTTGCAGAGCACAGTAGGCGTACTAATCTAAATGGTAATACAAGCATTTTGTGTCCAATTTGCCGTCAAAGTATTCGACAATCGACGAAAGTATTTATTTAACTTTTTACTTTTTCATGTTCCGTTTTTTTGTTGAAAATTTGAATTATTTAATTTTTATACGGTATACATTAGACTGCATCACCAAAAAAAGTTGCGGTTGTTCCGCCGAGATTACAAAATCTATTATATTCCAAGACGTCCACCAAAATATTTCGGAAAAATATTAAGAGTTAAGCGAGCTGGACCGATTTGAAAATACCTCNTCAACTACCCCAGGAGAAGGACCACCACCGAAGCGGTATATTTGTGAGGCCATCAGCAGCACCACACAAGACGACGGGGAGATGAGCCTGATGGCGAGCGAGGGTTTATTCCGCGAAGTCGACGAGGCGGCCACTAACCACAACTCCCATACCGAGGATGAAGATTTAATGGGCGAAATAATGAGGTGGCTGGACGCGAACGAGGCTGAAATCACAAACCCCCCAACGAATTGGCGTAACCTGACTGGGCAGGCCCAACTGCCAACGGAGCTAACCGAAAGCCTACGGCGACACCTCCAAGAAGAACGAAGGCCAGGAACGAAACAGTCACAACGTTCATATACATATACATATAATATTTTCAATTGTACATAAAATATATATGAAATTGTTAAGTAATACTTTGAATTGAAAATACATACTTTGAATTGTAGCCACATATTGTACAGCACTAAGCGATTTGAACTACCGTTATAATTTATATAATCATATACATAAATACAATTGTACATACACTTTAAGCACGATGGCAATAAAGAACAAAGCGCAAAGGACAACGGGACTTACGCGACGCGACTGCGGCCGGCAATTTTTATAAATAAATAGGAGTTGGGGTTGTTTGTATACTTACACCGCAGAAATACTGTGGTGAGGTGGATCACGCACGGGTTGTTTGAACTGAGAAGGCGACTGAAAATTTTCGCAACCAACAAAAATGACTAACATAAATCAGCCGTGGTCGAATGGTTTGTGTGATATCAAGGCACACACCGCCCGCCAATTGGAGGAGAAACTCGGCCAATTATTTTAAACTTTGCACAGATTGCTTTGCAGAGCACAGTAGGCGTACTAATCTAAATGGTAATACAAGCATTTTGTGTCCAATTTGCCGTCAAAGTATTCGACAATCGACGAAAGTATTTATTTAACTTTTTACTTTTTCATGTTCCGTTTTTTTGTTGAAAATTTGAATTATTTAATTTTTATACGGTATACATTAGACTGCATCACCAAAAAAAGTTGCGGTTGTTCCGCCGAGATTACAAAATCTATTATATTCCAAGACGTCCACCAAAATATTTCGGAAAAATATTAAGAGTTAAGCGAGCTGGACCGATTTGAAAATACCTCCAAAAATTAAGTTTTTTATGAATAAAAATAGTTTCTTAAAGATTTTTTATTTTTTTTCAAAAATTCCCCTCAAATGACAAAACGGTTTAAGCTTAAATATTTGCATATAGTTATAATGAAAAACATTCCACTTTTTATACCCGAGCGCACTTGTGCATAACGGTATTATAACTTGGGTCACATAACGGTTGTGGTGACTGTTTGTCCGTCCATCTGTGCACACGATAACTCGATTAAAAATTGAGGTATTTTACCGAAACTTCGTACGTGCACTTCTTTCGGGCGTAGGACGTATGGTATTGAAAATGGGCAAAATCGGACAATAACCACGCCTACGTCCCATATAACGATAATTTTCAGGAATACGAAAACTGCGATATTTTAGTAACTACTGAAGATTATTCACTCAAAATTGATATTTACAATAATTTTTAGACGACAAATAAGAATATTATAAATTTTGGAAAAATGGGCGTAGCCACGCCCAATTATGGTTACATGTTTTTATCTTGGTAACCGCTGCACCAATTTATTCCAAACTTGGCACAGTTGTTAGCTTTGCCACAGTATACCAAATGGCCGAAAATTAAATTTAAAATCGGACAATAACCACGCCCACATCCTACATAACGGTAATTTGGAGAAATACGAAATCTTCGATAAATCAGTAAATATTAAAGCTAATTTATTCAAAATTTATGCTTGCAACAATTCTTTACCAAGAAATACGCTTATAATAAAATTTGGAAAATGGGCGTGGCACCGCCCACTTATGATCACATATATGTATCTCGGTAGCCGTTCTTCCAATTTGTACCAAACTCGGTGTGGTTATTCTGCTTGTCACACAAAAGCAAACGATTGAAAATTACTGAAATCGGACTAAAATTGAGGCCGATTTTCATATACGGGTAATTTTAGAAATGCTTGAAACTTCAATATTTCGAAATTTAAGGACGCTAATTTACTCAAAATTTATACACCCCGGCTTACCATGTAGCGGTAGCTTTCGGAAAGGTGAAAATCATATATTTTATACTTGCGCCGGGTATTTAATGTTCGGCTCCGCCCGAACTTAGACTTTCTTACTTGTTTTATTAATATTTGCTTATTTTACTAGAATTTAATGGGCTATGAAACGGCATACTTAGACTTTTTCTAAAAATTCTGAATACAATACAAAAATTAGAGTTAAAAAACTAGAAACACGCTTTTATTACAACAAGAACTAAAAAGTATAAAATACTTTAGAGATATAGCGATTCCTTTTAAGAAGAAGAGGGAGTTCCCTAACTTGATTTAATTTAACTTTTTTAAATTAGCTAAAAATAGGATTAAAGTGTTTGGCCCCTAGTCCAATGAAGTCCACTGTAAAGTTTGGTGCAGCTTTTTGACATAATTTTCAATGGGATATCTGTAAAAAAAACTGCTACAAACTTTACAGTGGACTTCATTGGACTAGGGGCCAAACACTTTAATCCTATTTTTAGCTAATTTAAAAAAGTTAAATTAAATTAACTTAGGGAACTTCCTATTCTTCTTAAACGGAATCGCTATATCTATAAATTATTTTATACTTTTTAGTTCTTGATGTAATAAAAGCGTGTTTTTAGTTTTTTAACTATAATTTTAATTTCTACTTTTTGTCTTTTGGAATCTTGCAATTAGTATTATACTGCCTGTACATTTCTCATTCTGTCCATTTCTTTCAATGCATCGTTATTGCATGGCTTCTTTCCAGTCAGTTTCGAGTTATCCGATTCCTCTATCTGAAGTCCTTTTAGCGATCTTACTCTGCTAAGAGCGACTTAGGCTTGACCGTTTGCCAACAGCTTTGATCTTATGTGTACAACAGCGTAGTCTACAGTACTACTTTACATCTTATGCTCTGTTGATGCCCATGATAGAATTTCTGGCAGCATTCCTCTTTCAGCGGTTCCGTAACTTAACTTTGCCGGGAACTGTATTGACTTTGGCTGTATTACATGTATGCCTTCATTTCCAAAGTTTACACGTATTGATGGTATATCTTCTGCATACATTTGATTTCGTTTAAAATTTGGCCAGACTTAAATAGGTAATACACATATTCTGAATATAAACCAAATCGGAGCACAGATGCCGATTTTTTAACTATATAGACTCACGCGCCACATAACTGCCAAAATTTTTTGTGTAGCTACTTCTTTTCATGTAAGCAATATGCAATCTAAATATGAACTTGATCGGATCATTAATACGGTTATTCCAAATATCTCGACTCCTGCGCCACCTATAGATAAATTTTTTTGTGGATTTATTTCTTTTCATACAAGTAATATATGTTCTAAATATGAACCACATCAGACTATAAATGCGGGTTTTACAAATATCTCGGCTCCTGCGCCACCTATCGGCAACATTCTTTTGAGATTTATTTATTTTCATATAAGTAATATATGTTCTAAATATGAACCAAATCAGACTATAAATGCGGGTTTTACAAATATTTCGACTCCTGCGCCACCTAGCGGACTTAGTCATCTTTTATATTGCATTGTCCTCGAGTTCTAAACTAAGTTTAAAGTTTCAGGTCTGTAGATCATCGGGAAGTTTGTTAAATATTGATTGCAAAGATCCAAGACATACATACATACGTACAAGTGAAGTTAAATAAAAGCTTGTAAAATACGAGATATAATGATGGATCGAGTGGAGCACCGACGCCCTTATTATCCGAATATCTCCGTTATTCTTCCACCTAGACCTCTGACAATTTGCAAATAATTTCATTTTGAATTACATAATGAGTATATAAATTGTCAAAAGTTTACCTAGTGACAAGTTTTTACCAAATTTTTTGCAACATAAGCGCCTTCTGACGACTCTTTAACTTCCATGTTGCGTGTTTACCCCCCACCCTCACTTTATACTTCCAGTGAGAGTTATGACGGCCTGCCTCTCGCTATATCGGTAACAACCGAACCTGTAAATGTTAAAATTCCTACTTTACCGAGTGACCCCCTCCGCTACGTAGCCAGCTCTAGGGTTCGAAATTTCAGACTTTGGTATCGATACTGAGTACTCATTCTGGCATCGAGCTCATGGTATCGATACTCTAAAAGTATCAGGGAAAAAGTGTCGATACTACTCAGTATCGGACTCATTAAAATAGGTTTTTTGGAATACTAAAATTATTTTATTCTTCAATCGTATATCTAGTTATTTCCTGAAATTAAAACAATAGTCATTTAAAATATTTGATTTTTATTTCATTGCAGAACTTAATTTCACGTTAGAAGTAACTTTAAGGT